CCAGAATTTTGTTAGAGGTGATGTTTTTGAGTTCAAACATCCGGTGACTCATCTCCTTTGTTAAACAGGTACAGGTAGTGGCATAGTTTTTTTTTTTTTTTTTTTTTGAGTGGATGAGATTTTTCTGAGAGCTCAGTAGATTGTTCATCAAGCTGTTTTGTTCAGATGATTTTTACCCCTCCTCTCTCTCTCTCTCTCTCATTTTGTCTGAAATTTGTTCATTTATACTTATGGGTTGTTAGAAACAAATTATTACAGAATTGCAGGAGTAAAATCAATACTAGCAAAATATTAGAATAAAACAGGAGTGTGGAATTTTAGAGACATTACTGTAACCCACAGGACGAAGTCCATGTTGTTGGTATAGAAAAGGGGGGCATTCTAGTGATATCTGGTGTCATATAATTATCCCCAATGTCGCTGGCAGGAGTCCGCCTATCAGGGAAAGTATTGAAATAAAACAAGAGTGAGGAATTTTAGAATAATTACCGTAACCCACAGAATGAAGTCCATGTTGTTGTAGTGGTAGGAAAAAAAGGGGAGCATTGTATTGATACCTGGTGTCATATTTACCCCAGTGTCACAAGCAGGTGTCCCCCTCTCACTGCCACTGTCACATGCAAAGGGGACGTCATTCGCCAGGCTTCCTCCAGACAATGGCGCACAATGAACCAGTTTGGGACTATGGGGAGGTCTTTATAGCTAGTGCCCGCAAGTCAATATGTCTCCCGTGTCTGATGAATGGGCCCATGTTACATGTCAAGACATTCAACTCTTAGGCACTTTCCCAGCCTTTAAATAGTGATTTCAGTATTTGGTTGTAAAATATGGAACCTTCAAAATTTTCTTACTGGTGCTCAAGATTGTGTTAAGCATGACAGAGTGATGTGTTATTGCTGTCTCATGAATTCTTGTGTTCCAGGAACAGAAATGCAACTTTTTCAACTACTTCTGTTTCCCATACTGATATGTTTTCCTATACTGATATGGCCTACTGACACTCTCTGTTCTTCAGAGATGGGACTTTGACTTGTTGTACAAAATGTGTTTTGACTGCAGTGATTTTTGTTTTCATGGGAGGGTCTTGAAAACAAAATAAACACTGGTTGGTTGTGAAGTAGAGTCAGCTGCTGTGATCTCCAGTCTTGTGTTATTTATTTCTTCTCATGTGCTGTTTATCTCAGGGAAAGATATCAGATTTGTTTGGAAGAATCTTCTTGTGTGGTGGACCTTGAGTTAGTTAAAGATGGCTTCGTTTTACTGTTCTTGTATATGTGTGTTTGTGATAGTGATTGAATGCATTCCTTATTACCTTGTACAGAAAAAAAGTTGTTGACAGCCAACTCAGTGAAGGTAGTGACTAGCCAGTAATTTTTTGCATGCAGGTTCATGTGTATGCATTCACGTGTGTGTGTGTGTGCTTGCACCGACCCCAAAAATTAACATACGACAGACCATTTCTTGTGTCTAAATTCTCTCCACGCAGTAAGTGATTTACTAGTGTATTTGTAGAACATACTATTGATCCTGTGTCTCTCTCCTCTGATTGTGTTTCTATAATTATGGCAAGTGTACAGACACTATCATTGATTATTTCCTGGGCACATCTGTACATGTAGCATTCACATGGGACAGTAGATATCAGGTCGGAAGCTGTCGGCTTATTACCCATTAAGCTCAAATGCCCCACTTAGTTGGTTTTATTTATGAGGATAAGTTACTCACCAAATCGACAAAAGCTCTCTCAGAGACTGGCTTTTTGTAGGGGAAATTTCTCTTAATTTCTGGGTAAATTGCTTTTTAGCATTGTTTAGGGAAATACATGCCGGTTGTGTTCATAGTTAATGTAAACCCCCTTTTCTTCACTCCCTTTTGTTTGTGCTATGCTCAGCACTATCGATTGCAATCAAGGTGGTAGATGCACAGCATGTAAACCACTCAATCAGTCAGAGTTGATTGTGGCTAATTGAGAATTTCTAGGGCATCATGCGTTGGCATTGACTGTGTACTGAGCAGTGGAAACATAGCCTCCATGATTGACCCAGAACAGAGATAAATCCACTTATTTACACAGACATGTAGATTATACATAGAGCTCATCAAGGAGAACATGGGTACTTGGGGTATGGGA